CTGTGTCATACTATATTTGTACCTGCAAATCAAAAAGTGAGCCTAACCTCTTTCCCCATCCCCCCCCTCCTATCCTATTTTCTGTACCGTACCTGTCCACCCCCACCAGCACTGCAAAAAAAAAAACTTCCCTGTGTTCCTCCCTTTGAACCCTTTGGTCGCTTGGTTCCTCGTGCTCGACACGATGCGCCGGCAACATCCGTACCGTATCCAAATGCAAGTTACACATACTGTACTTGCGCAACAACAACAAAAAAAGAAAAAATTCCCAACACCCACAACAAGCAAAAGCGGAAGGAACGCAGCGCAGCGCAAAAATCATCACGCCCGGGCGAAGAAGTGAAGCGAGGTGAAGTGAAGTCCTGCCATGTCGTGCCATCCCAGCCTTATGACATGGCACGGCACGAGCACAACTTTTGGGCGGCGGAGCGGGGAGAGAGAGGCGGGGGTACTTTTTGACATTCTTGAGGGACGGGAATGGGGGGTATCCGCACCGGTGAAATGTTGGAGAGCGAGCGATGTGCGAATGCGAAGCTAGCTTGGGCTTCGAGAAGGAATCACTGCTGTGGTCGAGCCTGCTTAACCTACTTGCTGATTCAGCGAGTACAAGTACTAGTACAGTATCATGCAGTAAATTTACCGGTAACTTGTTTTTCGTCAGGTTTCGCAACCGAGTTTTTGGACGGTGGGTGTGTGTGTGGGTGGGTCTTCGTGGCAGAGGGTGACTTTATTTCATTTCCCCCCTCCCCCTGATTGGACCTCCTCCCCGTTGGTTTGCACTTGTACTAGTAGTACTGCACGATATCGGTATGGTGCTCGAGTAAACACCAGCTTGTCAAGAAACGGTGATACGGTACCGGTATCGTGCTGCGCTGGTGCGGTAATCACTCGGTCCGTCCGGGGACTACATCTAAGACTCCCGTAGCCGTGGGGTTATGATACACGGCCCACATTTCAACGGTAGGTAACTTAACCTCCCTTCCTCCCCTCGCTCCCTCCCGAAGGACTGTCGATTTCCTTCGAATCTAATTTCCATCCATTCAGGCAAGCAAGGTTTCCCCTCACAACGATAACAGATAAATGGATATCGACAGGCCAGGCCCGGCCGATGCCACATATACAAGTACTTGTACCGGTATCTTATACAAGTAACATGCCAGCTCCTCTCTAGCCCAAAACTGGATACGAAGAGAAGAGACCATCGTCTCCTTCCTTTATGGAACAAGGAACGCCTGCAAGTGGTGTTTCCTTTCTTTTTTCTTTTTCTTTTTTTTTTCCCCCTTGAGCCAAGGATCCTTAATTCCAATCTCCCTATACCACACGCTTCGCCCCTTGCTGGCGAGGATGGATCCCAATTGTCCGTACCGTACTCGAGCACTCGAGTACCGGTGCTGCAATACGGTACCGGTACTTGTATTATGCTCGCACAAGCATGATATAGTAATGCCACCACCACAATGAAGAAGGCTCGGTGAGGGTTCATCATTTAACTTACCCTATCTTTTCGCGGGGTGGGAATCACGGTGTGAATCAGCCCGATACCCGGGGCCTAATTACCTTTCGCTGCCTGCCCAAAGTGTGGCAATTTGGTGCTTCGTGTCCTCTCATGGGCTCGCTTGCCCTTAACTCCAATTTGAGTTTTACAATAGATACGGTACCGGGTATTGGTTATAATTTAACTATCATACTTTACGAGTATTGATGAATGGATGAATAGAAGGGAAAGGAGAGGGGCGCTAAGTATTGGACCAGGAAGCGGATCAGACGCGGAAGTGAATCACTTTGTATGTGAATTTTGCTCAAACCCCCACCGCAGAAAGTTCCCCAAAACCTACATCCGAATTTAGCCCAAAAAAGGTCAAATCTAGAATAATATTCTATCTGGGATACCTCCTCCACTGTAGTATTTCGTCTGCCTAGTGTCAGACGTTAATTGAGAATTTTAAATTTCGACTTTTTTGGTGCGTTTTGGCTGGTTCACTTCCCCGTCTGATCCGCTTCCCAGTCCAATACCGGTACGTTATTGATTTGCCTTCCGCGGGTTAAATTTCGAGGGAGAGGGCTGTTTTGACGAGTGATGGTACTGTACAAGTATGTATGATACTGCACTATACTAATCCAGGACCAGACTAACTCCAGGGCATCGTACCGTATCATGAACTTCTCCAGTAATTTACGTTGTTTCGTTTATTTTACTGTGGTATCATACTCAGTACAGTAGCGGTTTTCGCAACTTCAACTCGGATTATTGAGTTCACTAGCTTGAAAACTGTGGCACTTGTGGGGGTATCTTACCGGTATTCACACGAAATTGCGCCCGACACTAAGTTAACGTACTTGTACAGTACATTACAGTACGGTAGGTACTCGAGTAAGTCTGCTGTGATCGGCAGGCAACCGGAGCCTCGAACACTGATTGCGAGTTTCACGCTAGTATGATAAACGCTAAATCTTATCATTGTACGAGTATCATAATTTACCTGTTGCCTGCAACCCAGAGATCGGGAAGGGACCTTCACATGGTAAACCGACGCCTTCCTCATGATACCTTTTCCTTACGAGTACAGTACTCCAAGTTACGTTACGGCACTCGAGCAGTCCATTGCCTTATCCAAAACCCGATCCACCCCCGATATCGGCATCTTGCCATCATTGACTGACCTACCCGTATTTCACACTCGACACAGCACAGTGCCCCACTCTACCCCGCCCTCGATGTTCACACTCGAACAACACCAGCACAAGAGGCAAGGCGGGGGGCCATTCCCCGCTCACCGTACGAGTAACCGCAGCACACTACGGTGGTACAAAATATTGTACTGTACGGTACTCGAGTACCGGTATGCTCAGGACTGAAATAGAGCATCCTTTGGTGGCCTGTGATGCGATACGATACTTGGCTTTGGTATGGTATGATACGATACCCACGATACGCACGATACCAGTGCGGTGGGGGTGGATCTCTGAGGCTTGAATGCGCTCCTGTTTGCGCGGGGGGGTTACTTACAAGCGCACACTACCGTTCGGACTTACCGGCCCTGACTTGATCACCAAAGTGAGGATTTCTGATATGGTGCTCATAATGCAGTGACGTTTGCAAAGCACACCGCTATCGCATACAGCCAGAGATCGACCAGAGAGCCTCAAGGTTTTAGTGGCGTGCAATAGCAGTCCGTCTTTCAAACGTCGAGACGTCACGAGCACCATTAATTGCACTTTTGGTACTTTTTTAGAACCCATTCTCTGCCCCATACATACAAATATGCACCCCACACCGGTGAGATGCATCCAATTATACAGCAATGCTTGGCTGCCCCTTTGCGATGCTTCCACTTTCTAGCCGGTTGTTCGTATCTTTATGTGGTGGCTTTTTTTCTTTCCTTTTTCTCCTCCCAGACCCCTGAAGCAAGTATTGGTCACTTCCTCGCGGGTCTATGTCAGGCTCCGGCTGCTACCGGCGCGATCGTGGTGAGTCCATCACTGGAAATGTGGACCTCTCGCGTCGAGTCTATAAATGCTCCGCCTGCCTCGCCCGTGATGGATATGGTACTCCATTTGCTGATAGGTGAGGGGGAGGGGGGTCTGTCTGAGCATGGCTGTGGTCAACGCATAGTATGAGTAGTATTGTCTTGAGTGTGCTGGTCTGTCAGCAGCAGAATTTGGGTAGCCTGGCTTTTGGAGAGATTCGGCTGGTAATCTACTTAGAGTTGGGGTTAGGGCGGGGAAGGTGGTGTTCTGTGGTGGTGGTTGGGGGGTATGGGAGATTATGTGGTAGTACGGTACAGATTGGTTTTTTTTTTTTTGTGGGGAGCAATCGCCTTGGGCGATTGGATCGAATTGCATTAGGTTGAGCTGCTTCTGGCGTCGTGTGTAGGACCAATGGGTGAATTGGATGGACTCGAATTTGTCAGTCGGTGTTTTGATAACTCAAATGCTGGTCAAGTTCCGTATCTATCGAGTACTGTCCCCAGGCCCCACCTGTGGTAAAAAAAAAAACCCTCCGAACGAAATCGAGTGAAAATATGTGAAAGGGCTTTCCTATCCTCGAAAGAAAGGAATTACCGATACTCAAGTACAGTACCTATACTAGTATACTCCCGAAAACGTTAACACAGACGCACATTCCCTTCTTTCATGAGCGTTTTTTACTCGCAAGTACGGCGCCGGTATCACACTTTGCACTACGCTGGCAAGCAGAATAGTACTGTACGGTACTTGTAACAATCCAAAACCATTTTGCTACTTTCACACTTTCACTGCGAGAGCACTTTTTTTTTTTCTTTTCCCCCCCCAAGAATTCTTGTGACCCCCTTTGGCACGCACGTTCTTAAAAGTTATTGCATGATTGAAATCGGAATCGGAAATATCGCCAAAACCTTATCATACCATTCTTCCCACCATGCATGACAGCCCAATGTACAAGTAACTCGTACTGTACAAGTATCATACCTCCTGACGAATCCTCGGCTATGATAGGTTATGTACGAGCACTTTTACAGATTTTCTTGGCTTGGCTGCGATGGATCGATCGTGAATACTTACTTACTTGTACTCGGTACTATCGGTATGGCTTAATTTTGGTTCGGTTGTTGATTTGTTGAAAAAGGTACTCGTACTTGTGAAAAGGTATTATTACAAGTTATCCACTCGGCCGAGAGACATTTGGTCTACCGTACCGTAGGCCTTTTTGGTATCTATCCGTTATATACTTCATCCTGAGAGGTTGGTGTTCTGAGAACTATGATAGGGTATCGTACATCACGATTTGTGGTACCTGGACTAGATATTGGTAGGGCTAATGTAATGTTTTTAACATTAAATTTTTATCATAAATGGTTTCTCAGCAGTGGGGGGAAGTGGGATACCGGTATTTTGCCCGAAAAAGGCTGCTTACTCATGGATTACAATAGTGATGATCATTTGATCTCCTCCCATTCGAGGAGGGTTTGATCGGGTGACGGTGCCTGGCAACCATGGCCCATGGGACGAGTGATGAGTGGATGGGTGGGAAATTCTGGCTGGAATGGGTATGATAGGACCCTTTCTAAGTTGGAAGGGGTATGTATGCAGTAAGAAAAAATTTTCCTTCTTTTCTCTTCTTTTCTTTCGCATAACCGGCTTAGTCCTTTCCCTTCCACTACACCCCCGCAAGGTCTTTTTTTATCATACTTTCACTTTTTCCTTTCCCACGAGGTCTATCACTTACTCGAGTACAAACGTACCGTATCGCGGAAGCTACTGCCCTGTTCCTTATCCTGTCTGGCCGGTTCCGCGACCTTATCCAGAGCACGTGAGGCGCACAAACGGCAAGAAGAGGAAGAAGAAGAAGGATGTTAGCGATCCGCCAAATATTGCGATCACGGCGGCTCGCGCCACCATCACAGCTAATGCGAAGGAGGAGAAATTTCCACAATACGCCTTCCCCATGTGTTCGGCCCAGTTGGAGCAGTCTTGGGCCACTGGTTGCCGAGCAGGAGTTGGAGTCTATGCCGCCTATGGGCTTTGGCGGTGCGGGGGGTTGTTTGGAGGGGGCTTTGGAGAGGGCGAAAAAGGGTGTCGCGGCAGGTATAGCCTTCTGGAAGCTACGTGTGGTGTGAGCAGTTAGGAAGCTGATGGTGAGGGTGGCGATGATGATGGAGAAGAATATAGAATAGGTCCTTTGGATCAGTATGAGATGCTGGTCAGCGAGGGTCGATTGAAGGATGATCAATATCAGAGAGGCGAGTAACCAAGAAAATCTTCTCGGATCGTATACCGCAAAGCTCTGGATATTGGGTTGTGAAGGAATGACTCACTAACGGGTGAGGTGGTTCTGGCGATTAACAGGCATTGTGCGAGAGCTTCACGAGCTTCATCAGAAACTCAAAGAGTACAAACCGCCAAGTGTCGTACATCCCACCCTCGGATCGCTGGCCCTGCCTCCAAAGATGTCACTTCTCAGCGCACTCCTCAGATATACATCCCCAACTCCGGTATCGACACAAATCCCGGAGGATCTGCCCCGAGGGCTATACCTCTATGGCGACGTTGGATCGGGCAAGACCATGTTGATGGACATGTTCTATAACACGCTCCCACCGAGCATAACGTCTAAAACCCGAATTCACTTCCACCACTTCATGCAAGATGTGCACAAACGACTGCACAAATTGAAGCTCCAGCACGGCCCGGATTTCGACGCGATACCCTTCGTCGGGGCGGATATAGCCGAGTCCGGATCGGTGCTGTGCTTCGACGAGTTCCAGTGTACGGACGTCGTGGACGCAATGATTCTGAGAAGATTGTTGGAGTTCCTGATGAGCCATGGCGTAGTCATGGTTGCGACGAGTAATCGACATCCAGACGATCTGTATAAAAACGGTATCCAAAGGCAGTCCTTTATCCCTTGCATAACGCTGTTGAAGACAAAACTCACAGTCATAAACCTGGATTCCCCCACTGACTACCGGAAGGTGCCCCGGCCCGCCAGTGGCGTCTACCATCAAGGCCTCGGCCCTGATGCGCTGACCCACGCGAATAAATGGTTTAGCTATCTCGGTGATTCCAAAGACATCCCTCGCCCCGCCACTCACAGGATTTGGGGAAGAGAAGTGAACGTCCCCTTAGCGAGTGGCAAGGCGGCTCGGTTCAGGTTTGATGACCTCTGCGGGAAACCCATGTCCGCTGCCGATTACCTTGAGCTATGTAGGCATTATGAGGCGTTTGTTGTCACAGATGTTCCAGGGATGGATCATAAGAGCAGAGACCTCGCAAGGAGGTTCATCACATTTGTAGACGCAGCTTATGAGAGTAAGGTAAGTGTGATATAGGCTCCCCTCTTCCAATCTACCCCCCCCTTCTACCGGTACTCCTATATCGAGATAGGATGTATCTATGTATGCGTGTGTGTCTATTTCGTGAGACAAAGATGTTAACGAAAGAAACCCTGTCAACTATGTTCAGGCTAAACTGGTCTTGACCACTGCTGTTCCGCTATCTCAACTATTCGTCTCGGCCGCCGAGATAGGTGCCGCGAGGGAGGAAGTCGAGGGTCATGATCTGGACGCGAGCATGAGAAGTCTCATGGACGACTTGGGACTTGACATGAAGATGTTGAAGAATAGTAGTATTTTCTCCGGAGACGAGGAGAGGTTCGCTTTTGCGAGGGCCCTTAGCAGGCTAAGTGAGATGGGAAGCGTGCAGTGGGTTGAGCGGTAGTAATAGTTTTTTTTTCCCTTCAGTCCTTTTCTTTTTTCACGTTAGATTAGAGGGGGAATAAATTTATAAGATATGTTAAGTAGATTCCCTTATCATGCATGCTTGCATGCCTCTTTGTCATTCCTTAATTCTTGACTGGCTGGCTGGAGGGGGGATTGTGTGGGTGGGTGGTGGTGGTTGGTTGGATACTGTTTACCGCTGATAAGTTTGAGGCGATAAGGACGGTAAAACTAGCAACCATTTCCTATGGGCATAAGTGAATTAATATCAATTCCCATGCACCATATCATACCTTGGAACGAATCGTTCGGTGAGATAATTTCTAGGGAATACTATATCCCGGTAGCGTGGTCCACGGGTAATATACTGTACCGGTAAATGCTCTCTGTATTATATACTTGATACCACCACGACAAAAGCAGAACCCACCCACCAGATCTTTATCACAAGCAAGAATCCCTCCTCGCCCCTTTTCCCACCTCATCTTCTCCACGTATGATACTGTGGCTTATGTTTGGGTTGCCATATCTAACTATGCGCTCAGCTTATACCGAAGTCTACGGCGCTTTACTATGATACTTTGGATAGGAAGAGCAGATGCAAATGTGGTGTTTCGGGCTATTTTGGGGACGAGTCTGCTGCTGATTGATTGATGGGTGGGTTAGGGTTTGTCTGGTTTAGTTGAGATACCGTGTTAATACAATAGTGCGGTACCGTAGCGGTGCGGTAGTGCTATAGTTCTAGCTTTTTTTATCTTGTTATTATCTACAGCAGAGTAGACTATAGTAGAAATTGCTCGAAAAGGTATTTCAAATGGACAACGCAGCGAAGCTCAATAATAATAGTACAGTACTCGTATAGTGATCACCCTGGGGAAGACCTGGATCCCGAAGGTCCTGTCTGGAGCTTAGGGTTCACCATTGCTTTGTCGGGTTATCATCTGAATGCATGATACTAACTCGAGTACTCGTAGAGGCGCCCTTGGCAGGAACGGTTGCTCTGGTAACCGATAGTTGACAGCAGGCAACAAACAACGCTGCCCGTCTTGGATCTCTCCATCCCATGCAACCTGGTCCCACAAGACATTCATAGTCCACCAGTTGTCTCTTTTTTTCTTCTTGCCACTGCTCTCTTCAGAAACTGTTCGCACCAATTCCATCCCCTCCTCCATTTCTCCATTCCTCACGAGCTCTTTGCGGAGCGTTTCGTTAACAAACAATTGGAAAATTCCTGCATTCCGTTTCGGCGTTTTTTTCTCTCACTGTCTCATTTTTCTTCATTGTTTGTCACTCACTATCAGGGCGTGTTGAGGGGCAAGAGGCATTCTCGGGCAAGACATAATAGTACTCTCAATAAATAATGGATAACCCGTACGGATCCTCAGGACCTTCGGGTTACTCTTCTACCCCTCTTGGGTACGATCCTGACGATAATTCACATCCTCATAATTCGCCTGCTGGTTCTCAGATGAGGTTGTTGGGCAATATGGATGACCATCTATATGCTGCGTGTGTCATTCTTATCATGAGAATCTTTCTATTTTGTACGCTAACTGGTTGGCTAGGCCGAGTACACCTCATCGATCTTACCACCCTAACGATTCCTACCGAGAGCTTCCGCCTGTGGAGGGTTCTGCTGGTCCTTCGAGGGCTGCTCCCGCAATTGCGTATGACCCTTCACAGTCTCCTGCTCCGGGGCGTCACGCACCGGGCAGGGCGCCGCCTTCCTCTATAGATTACGATCCTGCGCCTGCTTCGCCGACTTCTTCGAGAAGAGGTGCTGGTGGATATGTCACGTACTCACCTTCTATTGTGTCGCGCAATGGAGGTCGTCCGTGGACTCCATCCTCCAACGGTGGAAATGAGAGGCCTTGGACACCTTCGTCAAGAGGGGGGGTAGAGAGGTCTTGGACCCCTTCGCGGAATGGCGATTGGCAGCGTCCGCCTCCGGCTTCGGTGCCGTATGAACCGGTTGATATCAATGGATCCCCGAGACCGGGGACTCCGACTTCAGTTAGGTCGAGATATAGTGGCGCTTCTTCTAGACGGCCCCTACCTACACAGCCTCGGTACTCGAAGGGCCCTCCTCCGCATGGGCGTGAATCTGTTTATTCGGATGAGACGGCAATTCCTATCTCTGAGCCTGGGGATTATGGGTATACCGATGATGAATCAGTGTTCGGGCCTCGGGGTTCGAAAGGATCATTGGATCTTGATCGCGAACGCACACACTCAATGTCAGGAGAGTCTTTCCAGACGGAGCGCACTGCGACTGCCGAAGAAGAATTGGACGAGAAGCCAGCTACAACTAAGACGGCCGTTGGGGAACATTTCGGACCTGCACCAAAGGCTCCGCAGACCCGTCGTGGCCTCAACAGACAAGCGCTCATGACAAGAAAGCAGGTCAAGCTTATTAATGGTGAGCTAATCTTGGATTGTAAAATCCCTACGATTCTATACTCCTTCCTCCCGCGAAGAGATGCTATCGAATTCACTCATATGCGCTATACCGCTGTCACTTGTAACCCTGATGACTATGTTACGAGAGGTTACCTCCTCAGACAGAACATGGATGCTACCCGAAGAGAAACGGAACTTTTCATCTGTATCACCATGTACAATGAAGATGAGATGCACTTTACACGCACCATGCACGGTGTCATGAGAAACATTGCGCACTTTTGCTCTCGCAGCAAGTCCAGAGTGTGGGGAAAAGACGGGTGGCAGAAGATTGTTGTCTGTATCGTGGCCGATGGACGCAAGAAAGTTCACCCTAGAGTTCTTGATGCGTTGGCTGCCATGGGAGTTTACCAGGATGGTATTGCAAAGAATTCCGTTAATGGCCGTGAGGTTAAGGCGCACGTTTACGAATACACGACTCAGGTCTCCCTGGACTCTGATTTGAAGTTTAAGGGTGCTGAAAAGGGTATTGTTCCTGTTCAGATGATTTTCTGTCTGAAGGAACTGAACGCCAAAAAACTCAATTCTCATAGATGGTTTTTCAACGCTTTTGGTGCTACGCTTAATCCTAATGTCTGTATCTTGCTTGATGTTGGGACAAGACCTGGGCACGATAGTTTGTACCATCTTTGGAAGGCGTTCGATACGGACTCCAATGTCGGTGGTGCTTGTGGTGAGATTAAAGCGATGAAAGGAAAGGGGTGGATGGGATTACTTAACCCACTTGTTGCTAGTCAGAACTTTGAGTACAAGATGTCGAACATTCTCGATAAGCCATTGGAGAGTGTTTTCGGATACATTACTGTGCTCCCTGGAGCTTTGTCCGCCTACCGTTACCACGCCCTGCAAAACGATGAGAGTGGGCATGGTCCACTGAGTCAATACTTCAAGGGAGAGACACTTCAGGGCAAGGATGCCGATGTCTTCACCGCCAACATGTATCTTGCTGAGGATCGTATCCTGTGCTGGGAGCTCGTGGCCAAGAGGAATGAGCGATGGGTCTTGAAATATGTCCGAAGTGCGACTGGAGAGACTGACGTTCCGGATGCAGTTCCAGAATTTGTTAGCCAGCGTAGAAGATGGCTTAACGGAGCATTCTTCGCAGCAACCTTCTCGCTGGCGCATTTCAAACAGATCTGGGTCACGGATCACACAATTATACGCAAGGTGCTGTTGCACATTGAGTTCGTTTATCAGTTTTTCAGTTTGTTGTTTACATTTTTCTCATTGGTACGTCTTTTCCCGATGATCTCGATGGTGGATTCTAACAGTGTCTATAGGCAAATTTCTATCTTACGTTTTATTTCATTGCAGGCAGTCTTTCGGATCCAGAGATGGACCCGTTCGGTAAGGGATGGGGTGGTAGGATATTCACAGTCTTGAGGTTTATGTGTGTGCTCTTAATTTGCACACAATTTATCTTGTGTATGGGCAATCGTCCGCAGGGGTTGGTTCACTTTACTCTTCACGAGTCATCACTCGGATGCACTAACTTTGTTCATCAGAGCCAAGCGAATGTTCATGTCTTCTATGATTGCGTACTCGGTTATCATGGCTTACACTACTTTCTGTTCATTCTATATTGTTATCAAGTCCTTCTCCGGCGGCTTTGGTGACCAGAAAACGGAGATCAAGCTCGACGATAATATCTTCACTAATTTGATTGTCAGCACGGGAAGCACAATTGGTGTCTATTTTTTGATGAGCTTCCTCTACCTCGACCCTTGGCATATGTTTACGTCCGCACTCCAATACTTTATGATGTTGCCGAGTTATATTTGCACTCTCCAGGTCTACGCGTTCTGCAACACGTGAGTGGTTCATTTATTCCTATTCAATTAGGGCTGGTCGAGTATGGTGGCTGATAATCATAGTCACGATGTTTCATGGGGCACCAAGGGAGATAATACAGTTTCCGTGGATCTTGGAGCGGCCGTTGGATCAAAAGGCGACACCGTCGAATTGGAAATGCCATCTGAACAACTCGATATCGATTCCGGATACGACGACGCGTTGCGCAATCTCAGGGATCGATTGGAGGTTTTGAAGGAACCTATGACAGAGATTCAGATCAAGGAAGATTACTACAGGGCCGTGAGAACCTATGTCGTCGTCGTATGGATGGTTGCCAATGCAATCCTAGCAATGATCGTCACGGAGGTTTATGGCCTTAGTGGTATTGGTAACAACTTTTATCTCAAAAGTAAGTCTCTCTATCTTTATACATCATTGGTATTTATCTATCTGTTACATAGTGATGACTGACTATATACCCTTTCGAATCGCTTTAGTCCTCCTCTGGTCTGTCGCTGCCCTGGCTGTCTTCAGAGCCCTGGGATCGAGCGCCTACTTGGTGCTCCGGGCAATCCACTCCTTCGTTGAAGGCCGCGTGAAGCTGGATCTGAAGACCTTCACGGATACATTCCAGCCACCATGGAAGAGAAAACTCAGATTGGCCGGCGTGAGTCAGAGTAATCTTGGGAGGCCGTAGTTTACGCACAATTTTCTGTAGCCCTTTGGAGTTTTTTCTTCTTTTTCCTCTTATTTATAATGGTTTTTCTTTTGTTTTACTGAGCTCTGCGAAAATAATGCCATGACTAATGTGTGTCTGTGTGAATAGCGTGATGAGAGCTGAATGGATGGGTGTGGGTGGAGGCTACCGGTATGTCTCGTCGCTTCGCCATGACAACCTTGGGGGTTTTTGAAACTTTTTGTTTTTCGTTCCAGAATGTTTATGATACCTGGGGTAGATTTCGTTTTCATTTTTTCATTTTTTATTTGCCATGATATCTTGTACCAGTATCATACCTCATCTATTAACCATGGTATGTATGATTGTTGGAATATGTTTTTTCTGGTTTTTTATGGTTGGGGTTAGGGTGGTTTGGGGGTTGGGATTGCGGTTGGGGACACGGTTGGCAGGTACGATAAAGATAGGTAGGTTAGCTTATGCAAGTTTGAATTTGATGTATGCAAAATTGGTGAGATACCCAAGAAACAAACAGACATGCAAAAGGAACGGTTGAAAGTCTTGTTAACACCACCCAGTACAGTACTTGTACACTGCTGTGGTGTCGTAGCATCTGAAACATACTCGTGTATGACTGAAGGTCAAATATCTCTTTTACCCACTCAATGGATAACTTCCCGGGGACCTTATGATATATATCTCTGATAAACCGGAAGACCGCTGTGGAATATCATACGTGATATATCCTATGATACTTGTTGTTATTGGTGTACTGGGGTTTGGGGATTTAGGTTCACGGGGTCATCGATTGTGAGGAGTTGTTAGGTTATAATATTGTAATATTATGCTATGATAATATTATCATATGATAGGATGGTAGACTAATCTAGATCATAGACAATGGTCTAAGCTGTACGAGTTACAACAGCTCTACATTTGCGATAAATAGGGCTCAGGTATTGTTAAGCAGGTTACATACGCGCTAGTTAATCTAACGCGTTGTTCGTTCTTGGCAACGGAATGCTGCCACATGAATAGACCTTCAGTTATGGTACTTAACTACCGGTGCGCACCACCACCTCGAAATCTCTTCTTCTTTGTTTACTTGTTTTCCTCCGTAGGAAGAACAACAACGACAACAACAATTTGACAGATAGCATACGTTACTTCAACCTCATCTCATCTCATCTCACTCATCTCACTCATCTCATCTTATCGATCCCAATTCCTAGGAACCTACCACAGCAATGCCACCTAGACGCCGAGCACCGGCTCAAACCCTCAGCGCGCGAATCGAGTCCACCGATGAGGGGAGTGGTGGGGTTGAAGGTACATCTCATATTCCATCCGCTCAATTGTCGTTCAGCAATTAACTTGTGCTGGCTACAGTTCTTCCCAAAAAAGCTCCCGTAAAACGTTCTACCAGGAGGTCCGCCACCGCTTCCGTTACGGTCGAGACGGCTGCAGCGGCTGTGGACAAGGGAAAAAAAAAACTAACGGCAACAGCAGGGGGAGGAGGGAGAAAGAAGAAAGCTGCAGTGAATAGAGTCGAAGAACCGACTGAAGATGAGGACGCTCCTGGTGATGTGAGAGAAGAAGAGGGTGGCGAAGATGATGAGGAAGATCTATTGGAAGCTGCGCCGGTAAAGAGCAGGAGCAAGGTGTCTACGGCTGCTGGGAAGAAAGCTACAACGGCAGCAGCAGCAGCAGTGAAGTCTAAGCCGAAACGTGGGGCTAAGAAGGTTGAAGTTGAAATTGGGGGGGATGATGAAGAGAGGGAGGCGACGGAAGAGGAGAAGGAGGTTCCGGCGCCTGTCAAGAAAAGGGGTGGGAGGAAAGCTGTACCGGTGGAGGCTGCTATTCCCGTTGTGGTGGCGGCAGCACCAGTAGCGGAAAAGAAGAAGCGCATGACGAAGAAGGAGAAGGACGCTGCCGCTGCCGCCGCTAAGAAAGCGGAAGCGGAAGAGCAAGGGAAGGAGAGGGAGATTGCCGAGACACAGTATACGCCTATGCAACTTGATAAGGACGCCGTGGATGGTGCGGACGATTTGATGGAGGTTGAAGCGACACCAACACAAGCCCACTCCGCCCCCACCGTTGCTTCGAAGAAGGCGGCTGCTGCTGGGAAGAAGGCGGGTGCATCAAAAGCTAGGGGTAGGGCCGCAAAAATTACTGAGCCCGAGGTAGTTGAGGAAGGCGAGGACGACGACGATCTGGCACTTCCAGCGAAACCTCCAATTCCCGTCCCCCCAAGGCGAGCTGGTCGTAGAGTCGCAAGTAGCGAAGTGGTGCTAGTAGCCGCGGGGGCGGGAGCAGATACCGAGACAGAAGCCTACAAATCCCTCAAAAAAGCCTTCCACGAATTGGAAACCAGGCATAAAAAACTCGAGTACGTGCGTGAGACAGAAGTTGAGCAGACATTCGCAAGATATAAGCAGAATGCCGAGATTAGGGCTAAAGGTTTGCCTTCCTCAATCCCCCTAGCTAGCGGGGATCAGTACTAAAGATAGCGAGCAGAAGCAAACAAACTCATCGACTCCCTCCAAACTGATCTGAACGCTCAAGCCCTCCTATCCAGCGAATCCAAAACCCTCAAGAAGAAACTCACTTCGAAGGAAGCCGAAGTGGCGAAGTTGCAAAGCAAGGTTCAGGAATTGCAAAGGGGTCTGCAAGAGCAGCAGAATGAAGCAAAAGTTCTGTCGGCGAAGTTGATTGTTGCGGAGAATAATAGCAAACGTGGCGCTGTGGCGATTCCGGGGAGTGCGGTAAAGCCGAAGGGCGGTATTGGTGGCGGTGGCGGGGGAATGGCGGGTGCAGGGCAAGCGGCGGAGGAAGCGTGGATTGCCAAGGTCAAGGAGGAGTTATTCCAAGACTTGACCGGGCTACTGGTCATGAATGTCAAGAAGGAAGGGAAAAGGACGGTGTTTGAGTGTTTGCAGACTAGTTCTACCGGTGGTTTGTCCCTTCTCCCCCCGGTTCCTATATATGATATATACATCCATCTATCTATATATGACTAACAAAAAACCCCAGTAACGATTCACTTCAAACTCCGGGTTCTCGACCCCCTCTCCACCGCTTCCTCCTCTTCCAACTCAAGACACCAGCGTAAACCCTCCGCAGCCCCGGACCCCGAACCTACAGTGGATGAAGATGAAGAGGGCAAGGACGAAGTCATCTACTTCCCCCTGTTAGACAAACAACGGGATAAGGCTGTCATTGCTCTGCTCCCGGATTACCTTGGGCTCGAGATTGGCTTTAAGAGGGAGCAGATGAGCGACTTTTTTGCAAAGATCACGGCTTTCATGATGAACATGAAGGCAAAGCGGATTCTTGGTGACGAGGAGGAAGGTGACGAGGAGGAGGAGGAGGATGGTGATGACGAGGAGGAGGAGGACGAGGACGAGGAGGAGGGGGGGGAGGGTAAAGGCAATGAAGGTGATGATGGTGACTACAACGAAAAAGTTGAAGATGCTTAGATAATTGTGGTATGCTACGGCTAGGTGGGATTAGATTGGAACACGATGTCTTTGTTCGTGTGGGGTGGAGATCATTTATTCCCCCCCCCTTCCCTTCCCTTCCCTTTTCTTTTCTCCTCCCTTGCATAAAAAACTAGCGTATTGGGTCCTTTCTTTTCTTTTCCGTCCTTTTGTCTGTATGCTTGTCCGTCCGATCATGCATCCAAGTGGGGGGATAGCTGAGGCTTTCCATTTCTTCTCCTTTTGGCTGAGTCTGTTAGTCCTTGCATCGAATATCTGAATATCATTTTTTTCTTCTTTCCTCCCTGGGGAGAAAAAGGGAGACCCCTCCAATAGGTTCCTTATTCCTGGGCTAAATCCAGTAACCAGGTGTACCACCACAAGAAAAGTGATATACCGACCAGACCGAACCGTTGAGCCCCCATTCCAAGTAGCTACACGGAATTCCAGCGTACAGAGTTCAGAAGATTCGGAATTGACTTGACTTCGCAATGTTTCGCAACTTTCGTCCGCTCATTCAATGACGTGGGTAGGTTATACCCTGCCACTTGGACCCATTCAGCGGAAGGCCAGGAGTGAGTGAGTTCAGTCAGCCTGTTTAGCATTATGTCAATTGTAATGTAGGTTAGGTAAGCCTGCGCGGTGAGTGATAAGAAATCACATTGCGTGAGGAATTTTCCAAGGAGAAATCCTAACATTTTCTTTGGTTGGAGGGAGAATTGATCCGCCTATCATTTGGCGCCACTTTATGTTTTCTCTTGGAAACCCGCTTTTTCACATTTCTCTCTTTTTTCTTTTTTCGCACCTCTTTCCCGGCCCAATCCAACCACCAAATCTCGAAGGAAGGGGTTGACAATTATGATTATTGTGGTTATGATGGCGGCGATGGGGGTGATTTCCTCAGGTACTTTCGGAGGCAAAAAAAAAGAGGATGTTGTCAAAGTGCCAGACGTAGGAGAATAGTGCAATTCATCTTCGTCCCGAGCACGATATTTGTGATGAATGCCGTCAGCTTAGGTCCGTTGGCGGTGTCTTTTTTTTTTTTGTTGCTGGCAACTTGTGTGGCTCCAGGAGTAACGATCAACCATCGTGCTATACCAGTCAAACGGCCTTGCAGTCGGTATCTGAGCTCCGGTTGGGGAGCTAGCCGTTACGGGGTATAATTAGTCGGTATATATCTGGTGATGTACCGTACAGTTATGTACCGCATAGTTCTTCCAGTCGGTGGCGGGACTCTGTGGCTGGCGTATGCGTAGAATTGGCTTGTTCCGCAGTCGTTCGAGGATCTTGGCTGGCGGAAAATATGATCATGTGGTTACTGTTGGGAGGGTTGAGGACCTCAGGTTACCTGGTAAAGCCTATCATGTATTCCCATACCCGATGGGGTAAACTTTCAAATGCATATCCATTGCCCAATCCAATCCGAGTGCATGCCACTGGAACCCATACCCCACCACCAACGTGTGCTTTTGCTAGGACGTGATGCCAGCATTTCTAGGTAGCTGCTGTGGCAGTTGTATTCGGAGGGCAGTTTTCTTCGTACGATAATGTGTATCTCGTTCGGGCGGCGTTATAGATCGTGAGACGGGATCCCACGTTGTCTCATTGAAGTTATGCGCATCCACCGCGAACCCGCATTAGTAGAGAAGGTGCTCTTATCCGCGTGATCGACTGGAGTAGGCTGCTGCAGGGACTGAAGAGTTAGTAATGTGCTCGACTCCTGGGAGAGACTTGGATTTCGACGATGGATTCCCGAATTGACACCGGTCAATGTTTACTTGTGGAGTTGTCTTGGGACGCCACAGGGATTTACGGGTATCCCGCCGGAACCCGGTGAATTGAAGAGGGGGCGGGGGGGAGTTTCCTGTCTTAGAAGCCTGGTGTTTCCGCGATAGCGGGCGATAGAGTTTCTGTGTCTTTTGAGAGTTGAGTCCGTCTCCACGCTCTCCTGACTTGCCAGTGCTGCTTTGTTGAAGGGTTCCATTTTCATGTAAAATCGGAAGCTTGAGATTGATTTTGGGGCGATTCTTGCACAGGGCGCACTTCTTCGTGGCCTGGATAGCAGGAGAGAAGGCGGGCACAGGCCGTTATACCTTCAGATTACTGTAAGTCGCTCTGAGGGGTAGATGACCTGTGATTCGCTGATTCCTAGGCTTTTAACTGGTTGGATAACCAAATTACAATCTTGCGCTATCAGCTTTCCCGATAACCAAGATTGCAACTCGGGGCGTTGGCTAGAGATATTCAGATGGAATCGATACCTGTAGCCAGGTCACATTTCCGTTCCCGTGCTGGCCTCGAGTGATCCATTGTGATGCCCCTTGGAAGAAAATGGCCTGAGATCAGCAAAAGAAGGTATCGGACTTTCGAAAGCCCCAGGCACGTAACACGTCTAACTGCTCAGAGCGCAGATAAAACTTCATCCTGAGAATGCCCAGTTCATGTGTGTAAGGAGGAGCCCTTGGGACACCCGAATAGATACCATGCCGAGTGAGAACCTATGGCGTCACCAGGAATGCAGCTTCGGGAGAATTTGGAGAGATGTGCTGTAAGGCGGTGTTGCCCAGCTCTAACCCCCCCGCGCCCCCCCCCACGGAAAGTTCGGTCAACCTGCTAGTCCTTCCAAACATGCAACGTCAATATGGTTTCGGAAACGACGATAAGTGTGTTTCAGGTGGGGAAGCTGCCAATGAAAATCATTACTATCTGATACTTTTCGGTTATCTTTCCGTACTTTGGGTTCTGAGGGAGGGGTTAAATGACTTGTCATTCGTTTCGATGCGCAATGAATATTATGATGGGCAGGCGTTGTTCTTCAACAGAGCTAGCATGTGAGAAAGCTTTTAGATAGATTTAAACGGGGGTGGGAACTACTTGGGTACCGGTAGCGTGGCTAAGAAAACCATGGAAATGCTCCGACAAGGGAAGGGGGGTGGGGGCTTACCAGCGCAGCGATATTTTTCTATATTCGGATTGGTTCGGTACTTTGCTAAATATTAGAACGAACCTGGTACCTCTAGAAGATGATATCGAAGTACGGGTATAGCTTTTCTCGGTGGCCTATTGCAGCGCTCTCCGTGGAGATATCGTCATATATCGCGGTGTTATGTTCATGGATATGTTTTTGCTTGTATGCTGGGATTTGCTAGATGTGGGTGATCTCGAATTGCGGCACAGTATTTATGTGTTTTTGTTCGATTTGGTGCCTCATGCCAGACCAGTAGGATCTCTGGAATGTGCACCCCACGCCCCCAAGGAGGCCGATGGCAGATTGCCAGCCATCAATTGATAGACAATATGTTTCGTTTGATATGTTTCCCGGCTCCTTTCTTGGGAGTGGTGGTTTAGAGCTGAGTTTGGATCTTGCCTGGTTCTTTCCTCCATATTTTCAAAGATACAAAATTTCAATCCGGAAAACCGTTCTTGCATGATAGTGAAACTACAGCTCATACCGCAAGTATCTGTACATGTGATAAAACAAATTGTGATCTATCCATGACTTTGGCCTGAGGATCACATTTGGCGTATCTGACGAGTGAATTAGACATCGGAAATGCCGGATCCATTGGAAGACCCTGTCAATAGAGCGGTGAAATTGCATTAGCGATGTTGAAACAATGGAGACATTGTGTAAATGTTACTACCGGCCGATGGAACATTTACGGTATCATACGTTGCACAAATTTTGTTCGGGCTCCAAGATCTTTCAAAATAGGACAATAGCCCATACCCTGGAACCTAATTGGAGGGTAAAGTAAGGGTCCCGTGACCTCCAACGCTAATGACAACCGCATTGAGGTTCGTTGCTATCATATCATACGAGTACCAAGCTTGAGCCTTACTCGAGTAGGAGTAGGTGTGACTGTTTTGTTGTGTTCCCTGGTCGAGGCGACCGAAGGCTGCACGTTTGAGGAATTGAGGGCGGAGGGGTTGCTCCTGAGAACCATCGTTTGTTATTCCATGTTAAGTGCCTGCGGGCTAGAGGTTAACCAATGTATGATCTGGAGATGACGATCTCAGATCGACCAAAGGCAATGCATCTGAGTTTCATGGCGCCACGGTTGCGTTATTAACCGAGTCAGCAACCTTGTTACTTGCACGCCTTCACTCTCACTCTAGTATTCCTTCTTGCATTGCTTCTGTCTTCCTAATCCCTATCTTTAACTCTTGTGTTCCCTTTCCCCTTTCTGCGTTCTAATGTTTGCTGGCGAACTTGTGTCAGAACTAGATCTCGGTATGGGGGGTGGGGGAGAGAAGGACAGGAGGGGTTGATAGAGTGAGATTTGGGAAGAGTGGGGGAGCTTGACCGGAAGAGGGGAGTAACTTACGAGTAGTCAGGAAGGAGGGGTAGTTAGAGAATCTTGCTGGCGCAAATTCAGATCATTCGTTCTGTCCAAAACATGGCGGTGTGTTACTTCGAAATGAAGCTGCATACTGACCATAGGCAGAGACTTGTTCCTGGTAGGTTGGAAGCTGTAAGTGCCCCTCATTTCTTTTCTCATTTTTCCCTTTCCCTTTCCCAGCCTAAGGCTAGTGATGATGATGCCTATGATGCCCACGATGGTGATGATGTTTGTTTGGTAGAAAGAAAAGAAGGAGAAAGTGGGGGTTCATAGTTCCATTGCCCCATGGGAGAACGACAGAAGTAGACCGGAGGCAGGAGAGGTGGGTAGACGGGGGGCTGAAGTGGGATTGCTTCCCATTCCTGGGCCCGCGTGTACTTTTTTTCTTCTCCCTACCGTGGCATCCACCCGAGTTAGTTTAGATATCGGGAGCTCTCCCCAGAAAGAAAAAGGAACTGGAGATGCTCAGCCCTGAGGTTCGAAAGGGGAAGAAAGGTAGTAAAGAAGAACCAACTATCTGCTGCCAGAGGAACTCACCCCCCCCCTGGATGACCATTTTCCTCGTTGATTTCAAGTCTTTTCTCCACAGGGAGGCGGAATATACCATCGTCACTCCTTAGCTTCTTTCTCGGTATTATTGTTTCAACCATTACATATTACCTTCGCCGACCTGTCCCTCCGGGAATTGAAAGCCTGCTACAAGAGCTCGGCTGACACAGGCCCGTTTTTTTTTTCACTTCCCGAGACATCTTTGTGTGAAGCAACTCGTACTCCCCAGAGAGGCCGCCGTTGTACTTCTAGCCTTTTTGTGGTTCCCCTTCAACTTCTTGATTTTTTTCTTTCTATATTTCAATCCTTCTACGAAAAGGAAAAAATAAAGCCTCGATCCCGATCCCATCACTGGAAAGGATGCCGTTTTCTCATCACAGTCATTCGGGCCAGTTCTGTCTGCATGCGCAAGATACTCTTGAGCAAATGATAGAGGCCGCTATTTCCAAGGGCATGATTGTTTTCTCGTTGACCGAGCATATGCCCCGGGACCGGTTGGAGGATCTCTATCCTGAAGAGGTGGGTTCTTACTTTTTTCTCCTTTTGCAATCCTGCCTGCTTTGGCTTTATTTATTTTTTGGCATATGGGGAAAAAAGAAAGCCAAAGAAGATCGTAAGGGTTTCTTTAATTCGCATATAGCATAATTTCTTTTCATATGCCCCTCCATCCTTATCTTTACCTCTCTCCCTTTCTCTAGAGAAAGGTGCATGCGCCTTTCCCGAATAAGATGTGGAGGTGCCTCAAGTGGTGTGCTAACCAGGGTTTTGGGTCTCCAATGACAGATTGCTGCCTACCAGACACCCTTCGACCTTTACAGAAATTTCCAAGACTATTATAACACCGCGCTTAGGCTGCGTGCGAAATACCAACACCGGATCCATCTCCTCGTTGGTTTCGAGGTCGATTACATCCGCCCTGAATCCATCCGTCTCATTGAGAATCTCCAATCAATTTACAAATTCGACTTCTTCGTCGGATCTGTTCATCATGTTAATACTATTCCAATTGACGTTGATAGGCCAATGTACCTTAGAGCTCTTCAGAGCGTAGGTGGCACAGAGGAGAGGCTATTTGAGGCATACTTTGATGCTCAATATGAAATGCTTACACAGCTCAGACCCGCTGTTGTGGGTCACTGGGACCTTATAAGGCTGTTTAGCGAGAACCCAGCTAAGCCTTTGATTGAGTATGGCTCTGGTGTGTGGGGAAGAGTTGTCAGGAATGTCAATTTTGTTCTTAGCTACCGTGGTCTTACGGAATTAAATTCCGCCAGTTTGAGAAAAGGCTGGGATGAACCGTATCCCAGGAGGGATTTGGCCCAGGTCAGTATTGTGCTTGAATATGAGGTTTTGGGATATCTCAGGGTTTTTCTAACGCTTTTGCGATATAGCTTGTTATGGCCAACGGTGGTAGATTCACCATATCTGATGATAGCCACTGCGCCTCCCAAGTCGGCCTTAATTATAACCGGCTCCTGGACTACATCCGGGATATAGGCCTTCAAGAGGTCCATTATCTTGAGAAGCTCCCTATGGGCGAAATGGCCGTCAACGTGCTTGATGCTTGTGCCGTGCGAAGGCTGACTATAGACGAGCTGACTCAGCAGAGGTTCTGGCAACTTTGAGTTGTCTATTGTACGCCTTTGTCATGCTTTCCTCATGCGCAAGAATTATTACTATTTTTTTAGTCTGCTAGGGTGGGATACCGTGTTTTTGCTACTGTTAGACCGATCTCCCTGCGTGTGCTTTCTGTGCTAGAGAGTTTAATCTCTATATTGTTATTTTAAAATGCCGTCCTCTACTTCATCAAGAAGGAAAACTGCACCACCGGCGTTTTGCCCTTTAAACTTCCCCCAATGCCCCCACCACAACTCACCCTGCAGAATTATTATTATTATCCTGTATCAAAAGATGCCCCTTTATTATTTTTCTTTTTCCCTTATCTCCCTCTTCTAGCTCTTAATTCTTAAGTTGTATCCACGTTTTATCACTTGATTTTTTCCCCCTTTCATTTATGAATGCTCTTTGTTCCCCTTAAACCCTTGCTTTTTATACCTTAGAATTACATTCACCATTTACACCGTGGTTTGTTATTACGGTCCATCTAAGAGCGCCCGGGACGTCCAGCCTAGCTCGCAGGTGACATTGCAACCCTAACGTCGCTCAGCTGATCTACGTCCCATACCGGTTGAGTATTAGAGACTTTGCCATGGGGCTCTGGATGGGGCAAACGCATTTCTGGACCAACTGAAATCGCCAAGTTTCCATCACCTCTTCACGGGCTACAACGGCCGCTTCGTAATCATTTCACACTTTGTGCCCGCAGTATGGTAGTAGGAAATGTATATGCAGAGATCATCTTGAGGCCCTTATGGAAATGTTTCCGGAGTGTTTGATGTACTGTACAGGTATGGTAGTTGGCACTTGAAACCACCACACATAAGTACTCCATTTTTCATAATACCATTAAAAAAAAAGCGCGAGCCGCGTAGAATAGAAACAACTTTGGAAAATGACCGTACATGGGGATGTAAAATTCGAAATTTTGCCATCCCGGAGGATACTCCCAGTATGGGAAACCGGGAGACATAGGACTAAAAGGAAGTATCTCCCAGGAGCTTTGGTGAAGCCATGTTTTTCAAAAAAAGATGTGGTGGTGGTTGAAAACATTTGAGAGCTGTTTATCATAATATCTTAGGTTCTGAATCGATTTCCAGTGCCAGCCATACCTGGGCGGCCGAAATGATACCGTCTTCTAGATATGACCTTGGTCAAGTTCTGTATGATACTGTACTGTACATGCACACCTTGACCGAGGGACCATCATTATATCATATCATGCTTGTCCATGATACCTACGCAAGTATCATAACCAAAGGTGATATACATACATACATTAAAATCCCCACCCAAACTCTCGAGCGGAGAGAGAAAAAAAACAAAAAACAAAACAAAAAACGAAAACAGAAACCCCCCCCACAACCCCCCACTCACATACCATATCATACCCCACCATTCCGAAGGAGCCCAATACTCTATGATTCCCGTGATCTCACCAACCCTACCAGCATCCACCTAATCGATCACTCCACCCCCCTCCGACACAGTCCAGGGGGTCGGAAAAAAAAAAAAACCTCGGGTGTTTACATACATGCATAAGCACATCAGCGGCCCGACGGGCATTCCGAGTCACCCGCTGGACTAGGCCATTCATCCGTGGCATCGCTACGCACTGCAAAAATGTTTCGGGAGGGGTTTTTTTTTTCTTTTTCTGGTGGTGAGTTGGTAAAGTGCACATGGTGTGGGGTTGGTCGAGTGATGGGTGGTGATTGGGTTGCTTCTGAGTCTTTTTTTTTTTTTTTTTTTCCTCCTCCTTTTGGAGAATGAAAGGGGATATGAATAAGGCCTATGATACTAAGTGCACTTTTTTTTCTTTTCTTGCTATGTATGATAGCGGGATTATTATCATCGGGGCGTTCGCGCCCACAACATTTCTGTTTAGAATTTCCCTGCGAGATTTTGGGTATTTTGAAAAGGTATAGGTTAAGGCTTGGAAAATGGTTTGGTTTGAAAGAAAAATTCCGCCATGGCTAATGAAATTCCGTGAAACCCCACCACGGCCTGCGGGATTCCATAACGGAACTTGAATTCTAACCTGCACAATATTAAAATTTTCCAATTTACGGTTTCGGAATTATTAAAGGTTATAAATAGTGATAATCTATCCTATAGAATCGATAGACATCGTATAGCAAGGCAGAAATATATCGTAGATATGAGTTACTTATTTCCTGCATTGGAACTCATACGACCTTGTACTATAAAATGCACCTACTTAATTAATGGTATACTTAATACATATCAAATCAAGAAATTGCTTTTTCAGTTATTTAGCTCATAGGGAGTTCAGGGATAGGCGCATCCGTTGATGGTTCCTGGGGAGGGTCCCAGCAGCAATTGTGCCGGGGAGGTTCTCGCCCTCTGGTTTGAAGGCTAATGGAGCCGACTCCAGTCCTGTGGCAGGAAGAGTGACAGCTTCACTTTCGTTTTGTATTGTCATTAATGGCTTTTCAGCCAGCCCAAGAGGTGATCGGTGTCTCTTGCGAGTATCGAGTTGAGGAGACGAGCTTTTCAGAACTAACAACAATGATGAGACATTACCCACCTCTGTAACTAGCAATTCCAACTGATGGAGTAACCACATAGTGGTATTGTATTATATCAGGTTAGGGAATACTGATGGAAATATGGCTAGGTTTAGCATCCAAATGGGACTAGTTTATGGAAGTAGTTGAGTGGGCATTGCCCTGGCATTTGCACACACATGGCCACTTGGCATGTGTCTAGATTGTGTATTTGTAGTTGAACATCTCCTCTCAGCTGAATAGAATGAACACTTTTTCCTTCCGAACACACCTCCTCCACGCACTACTTTTTCGCATACGCCCAATCATCCGACATCTATCACCAACACTGGCAAAGCCCAGGGCGTGGACTTCTTTGGTTCTAGGCCTGGCACCGCATCCAAGCCTGGAACATTCCAGCCCCCCAGCAGTGCATCTAGCAGAGTCCTCGCCAACATCTCCGAAACTGACAATTGTAGAGGGGCTCGCTATAACTCTACCCACTTGATGCGAGACTCAGCCCCCAGATGCCTCGGAACAACTTCTCTTCTATGATATTGGGAACAAAGCCAGTGGAATTGCCAATCCCAGCTTTCAGGGGTTCTGGAGATTCAACTTCAGCGAACAAATCTCTGGCACCAATAACCAGCAACTCTTCCAAGCTGGTCACTTCCCCGCTCTGAATGATGGGCCTCCACACCAACAAGTCAACCCGAACTGGCTTCAAAACTCAGACCAATCCTCCAATTCGGACACCAACACCTATCGTGAATCACCGGCGCTCCACACATTATCGCCGTGCATGGTCAAGAACCAGCAACTCATATCTGGAGTTCCCTATTTCTCGCATAAATAACAAAGACGAACGCCTTCTAAGTATGAGAGGGGAGTCGAACAAGGAAGAGAGGTTACAGTGGAGAAAAGGGAGGAAAGCGGGGGGGGGATGATGAATAGCAAAGGAGCACGATCACAGTATCCAAGGGAAAGCGATTATGAGGTTCAGAGGCTGGAAGACTAAGGGACGCAAGAGTTTTCAGATTCATGTATTTAAGGATGCCTGTTGCCATAGTTGAAGTGCGACGAAAATTGAGGCAAGAGACCCCCCAGCTCACTCCTAACTTAAGAGCTTCCAGTGTGCGTGAAAGGTCGGCGAAGCATTTCTATTTATTTTAACATCACCACCTCTTCCTCCTATAGCGCTATTTCTAATACCTTCCAGAGTACCACTTCGTACGCAGATGAGAGCTTGGAGGCAGCGGCCATCGAATCCGAGACCGGGAATAAATGGATAAACCAGGTTGAAGAGGATATAAAAGGGGGATGAGCCTATTTCCTTTCTAATGACGATTTGTTTATTTAACAGTGTCCGCCGGAACATTGCGATCTTGAATATGACGATAATTCTCTACTCCAGTCTATTCATGACCTCTCTATCCCTTCACGCCGATGGGCTTACATTAGGTTATGGTCTCCTTCCATTTGGCTTAGTAGAGGTGTTTGTGTTTGTATAATTATCACAGTATTCTTATTTCTTTTCACCACCGTTTCAGGTGGCTGCCCTGGTGCCAAAAAAACGTTGTTCCTTTATCCAGCGTTTGTTTATCGGATGTTCTTGCCACGGGCACGCAGTTGGCAAAATACCGCCTTCAGGGAGCGTTTGCATTAACGGTTGTTTTTTCTCTCTTCCCACGATTTGGCGATTCTATTTAGGCCATGCTCGGCTTGTACCAATTTAAAAAAATCACAATAAAAGTTGAAAATAGGATATATTGTGAAATAGAAAAATTGGTGCTCGGTAACAACTATGATTTTTTAGATTCTTATGTTACCCTAGTTCTAAACACTTATTTTATATTGGTGTTGACCTAATTGATACAACCTTTCTAGTATCATAATTATATTATTAAATTTTGTTCTTCATAGAGTAATTGCCTATCATTTATTTCTTCTTATGATACTGGCAATTTCACCTCTCAACTGCGGTTTTCTTCTCCCTGATTACTTAAAATTATTTAATAAAGATTGGTAGACTCAGAATAGCATATATGAAGTTGATTTCAATCTGTATCTACTACAGTATTCTAATTGTATATTATCTTTGTAGAAATCCTTTCATCTATAATCCTATATTCTATTAACATCTGATTAAATTCACAATTTTTATGGCAAGTTGAGTATGGCCAAATTTAAATATATCTAAATCACAGAAAAAATCACATTAAAGTGGAAAAATTGTGATTTTTGTAGCAAGCCAAGCAGGGCCTTAGTGTTTTTTCTCTCAATCTGTTCACAATCCTGTATGTACTCTCCTTCAAATAAAATCACAAGCCTGTACTACTCATTAGACAATTTTAACTCATAATGTATTTCACCCAGTAATGGGTCACCTGTTAGATGGAGACAACCTGATAGACTTCAGAGTTGTCTAGGCCAACTAAGATTTATTTCTGTAGACAGAGATTGTCTCGAAAGGCTCGAATTTCACTCATTTTGTTTATGAC